TTAAGAGCACTGACTTCTCTTCCAGAGGTCCTGAGTGAGTTCAATTCTCAGCAACCACCTGGTACCGACTTCTGGTAGCAGGCAGAATACTGTTTAGGTAATTAATTAATAAAATTTTTGGAGGGGAGGTTTCAAGAGAGAGTTTCTCTGTAGCTTTGGAGCCTGTACTGGAACTAACTCTTGTAGACCAGGCTGGCTTCAACCTCATACTCAGAGATCCACCTGCCTCCGTCTCCCGCGTGCTGGGATTAAAGGCGTGTGCCACCACTGCCCTTTTTTTTTTTTTTTTTTTTGGTCTTTTGAGACAGGGTTTCTCTGTGGCTTTGGAGCCTGTCCTGAACTAGCTCTTGTAGACCAGGCTGGCCTCAAACTCAGAGAGATCCGCCTGCCTCTGCCTCCCAAGTACTGAGATTAAAGGTGTGCGCCACCACCACCCGGCTTAAATTTAAAAAAAAAAAAAAAAGCTGGAGAGATGGCTCAGGTTAAGAGCAATGACTGCTCTTCCAGAGGACTTGAATTTAATTCCACATGGAAGCTCACAACCATCTGAAATGAGATCTGGTTTCCTCTTCTGGCCTGCAGGCAAACATGTAGACAGAATACTGTATACATAATAAATAAATAATAAAGAGTTCCACTGGCAAAGTTCAAAGTTTCTAAGGAAATTAAAGCATTTTGTTAAATGTATGAAAATGTCCTAAGCCTATTATTTTGTGTAACTAAAATGTGATAATTCAAAAGAAAAAAAAGTATCAGTTTTCAAGACAAAATTTGTAAAAATCTCAAGTTTAAAAGCCCATCAAAGAGGCAATATAGAGACTCAAGCATGCCTACACATTACCACCAGGAAAACGAACATTCACCAAAAATAAAAATGTACGCATATTCTTTGACCCAGAAACTTAGAGATTATCCAAGATATGCATGCTCACCCAAGCTAAGCTGGTTGATGACATTCACTTATATGTGGTAATAGTAATTAGAAACCACTCAAGTCCACCCATAGGGAACTAGATTTCTGTCACTAGTCTCCTCAAAAACCCTCTAGGAAAGCCAGGTGTGGTGCACAAACCTTTAATCCTAGAGCACAGGGGGCAGAGGCAGGCAGATCTCTGAATCTGAGGCCAACCTGGTCTATTCAGGACCCTGTCTCAAACAAACAACAAAAAACCAACTCCATTAAAAAAAATTGGCCACGCCAGGTGGTGACGGCACACCTTTAATCCCAACACTCAAGGAAGCAGAGGCAGGAGGATCTGAGTTCGAGGACAGCCTGGTCTACAGAGGAATTAAAAAAAATTGGCCACGCCAGGTGGTGGCGGCACACCTTTAATCCCAACACTCAAGGAAGCAGAGGCAGGAGGATCTGAGTTCGAGGACAGCCTGGTCTACAGAGGAAGTCCCAGGACAGCCAGAGATGCAGAGAAACCATCTCAAAAAAAAAAAAAAAAAAATTGGCCACATCCAAGCTTGGTGGTATGCACCTTTAATCCTAGCTAATCCTAGCAGGGGCATGTGACCAATCCAAGTTTAAGGCCAGCCTGGTGTACTAACAAATTCCAGGCCAGTGAGTTATATTGTGAAATTCTTGTTTCAAACACAAACAAAAAAGGAGTGCTGGAGAGAGATATTTTACTGGCTAAGTGCTGTTACTCTTACTAAAGACCTGATTTCTGTTCCTGGCATCCACAAGGTGGCTCACAGCTGCCTCTAACTCCAGTTCACCAGTGCCCTCTACTGGTCTCTCTGGGCACTAGGCACATGTGGTACACATACATACATGCAGGCAAACACTCATACATATTTAAAAACAAAAGACTAAAGTCCCTTAATAGGATCTTTCACTGAAGAACATACTGAATACACAAACTGTGGACAGAGAAATGAAAGCTCTAACAAGCCACCACTAGACACTGGCCAAAATCCAGACCGCTGATGGACAATAGGGAGCAACATCAGCTAGTCTACTGCTTGGGCTGTCTCTTGAAAAGCTGGCAGTTCTTATAAACCATATTGAGAGTTCTACTGAAGCCCTAGTAGGGGAGCATGGCTACTTGTATTCTGTTGACTGAAAAGACATCCTGTTTGACAGAGCACGCACCTTTGAAAGAGACATACATGGTGTGAAGGAGGAAGAGGATTATCAGTCAGTCATATTAATGCTGGGGTTCAACTGGGTGAGAGTTCACCATCACATCCAAAAGTAAACACAATCATGCTCCTTGACATTTACCCAAAGGTGTTAAATTTAAATGTCTACACAAAAAGACACCACTTTAATGGTAGAGTAGCTTCATTCTCAATTACCTAAACTAGGAAGGAACAAAGACATCATCTAGCAGGCAAAGGAACTGGAACATTACTCAGCACTAAAGAGAAATGAGTTATCAAGACATAAAAAAAAGTGGGAGGTTAAAAGTTAAAATGCTTAATACTTTGTTTAAGGACAAAGAAAACAACATTGCTGGGGGCTGGAAAGAAGGTTTAGTGGTTAAGAGCACTGGCTGCTCTTCCAGAGTTCCTGGGTTCAATTCTCAGCACCAAAAGTTACAGGCAGCACACTGTAACTTTAGTTCCTAGGTACTGGACACCCTTACACAGACATACCAATGAATATAAATAATAAAAAAAAAAATGCTGGGATTTAGTACATCTATAGTCGCAGCTACTCAAGTTGCAGGCAGCCGCAGGATCACTTGAGCCCAGCCGCAATTTAAGAGGGTTCAAATCCACAAGAATTAAATTCGTATCTCCTACCAGATAAATAAACCAGAATAAAGTACTAACTTCTAAACCCAGAGAAATGGGGGTAACAGTAATTTTGGGGAGACCAATTTCCGATTTCCTTCAATAATCACAGTAAAATGACCAAGTGTAAAAACCTCCCCTTTTGCTGAGTTAAAAGTAACTTTCTCCAATTGTTCAGCCTACCTGTTGCTTCTTCCCTTCATTAAAAGCTGCCTGGTGGCATCAAGTCTTTGGTTCAAGCACTGAGGCAGAGGCAGGGAGATCTCTTCAATTCAAAGTCAGCCTGGTCTACAAAGTTCCAAGACAGTCAGAGCATGCACTTTTAATCCAACATCAGGAGGCAGATCTCTGAGTTCAAGGCCAGCCTGATCTACAAGAGCTAGTTCCAGGACAGGTCCCAAAGCTAGAGAAAAAGCCCGTATTTTTTATAGTTCAAAGCCTGATGGGGGAGCTCTGTGCATCCCCATTCTACATCCAAGGAAAAAAAGTCCATGTTTTTTTAAGTCTCAGGCTGAGTCAGCAGTGGTGGCACACACCTTTTATCTCAGCAGAGGCAGATGATCTCTGAGGTCAAACCAACCTAGTCTACAGAGTTCCAGCACAGCCAGGACTACATAGTGAAACCATCTGGTAGAGGGAGAAAAAAAGAAAATCTCCGTAGTTCGGGTCTGACTATCTCAAGATTCTCCAAAAAATGCCAATACAGATATCACTATACCTGATCTCAAACTTACTACTATATAGCCTACTATAATGACCCTGCGACTCCTTTTGGCATCATTATTCCCCAAAGTAAACTTTCAAAACAGGGCCTGAACTACTGTTATGCTGAAAAGTGAATGGAACTGGATCAGCACTTTTCCTATCAAGTAGTGGTAGAATTGCAGAAGAGAAGCCTACTGGCCTACACAGCCAGTGCTCTTGTAAAGGCAGCATGACTGTTTATGGGTTAATTTTTTTATTCCATCCCATCCCATCAGGCTATCACATCTAGAATGCTACTAGTTAATCTTAAAAAGCTACAGGGTTGAGTGTAACTTCTGACTCAGATACCATACTTTCAAAAATCAAGTATCAGGATTATTTGTTCAATCTCTGCATATTTATTGTTGAACAAACTTAAATTTTCAAATACAGAATTAAAGCTAACCAAGTGCAACAGATAAGTCTGCCCGTTACTCACATAGCTTCATACCATGTATTCAACCAGTCAAATTTGAAAAACAGACTCCAAATGACTTCCACTCAGCCAAATAAATTTGAGGCAGACCAGTACAGTATTAAAGTTGCGATACCAGACAACTTTGTTGAAAAAGCCTAAAATGGACAAGGACAGACTCCTGTGCTACTTTTTTTACACTCAAGGCTAAGAAATATAGTAAAAAGTTTGTCCAAAAAACACTCAAAAATGACTGTTACTGCCCTTGTGTTTAGTATACTTAAAGTTTGAATAAGAATCTACTGGCTATACCATTCTAAGGTCTACCAGATACTATTAAAAAACAAAAAAAAAAAAACATGAAATGCTGCTAAATATTTAAGGTTTACAAAACTGCTGTCTCAACATTTTTTCTTAACATCTCTTTATACCAGCTTGGCAAAATAGAACAATGTTGTCAGACTGCAAAAATCTAGCTCAGATATTAACAGGGTTTTGCACAGGATAAGGCAATCCATTCAAAGGAAGAGTATTGAGGCTGAATAATTTTGCAAAGCTGGTTTACAGGGTTTTGTTCCAAATTCAGACAATTCTTTAAACATGCATTTTTTTTTGTATTAAATTGGCTGTTTGAAAAAGTACATTGAACAGAAATCATCAACTTAATAGTCTGAAAAAAACCACACAGCTACTAAAAGCCTCTCGAAATCATTTTCTTCCTACTTCTTAATATGACATTTACACTAAGTTCCTGTCATGCACCCATTTATAGGCTAAATCAGTGGTCCCTCTAGCTTGAAAATTTGAGACTGTTAGCTTGACTTCTAGTTAACACCAATTCTCAGTTAGGGATCTGCCATGATGCATTCATGCTATTAACAGGACAGATCATTTAACCCATAGGTACAAGGGTAAAATGGAATTTTCCAAGTCCTTTAAAATCCTGAACAGTGTTATGTATAGAACAGTTAATGATGTTCTTAATATTCTAACACCATTTAACCTCACAGGCCGATATAGTCCAATTAACAATTGTCTTGACACCTGATGTTACCAAATTGAAAAGTATTAATATTGGACACGAATCAAAAAATCTAGTTAGAAACATTTTATTTAAATGTGCCAAATAAAAACCCACATCTTCAGACCAAAAGATGTTAATACATTCAACAAAAACAATTACTTAACTGCTATGAATTTTACAGAGCATTAACCCAGATCCATTTTGATTAGATGGTTGATGATCCTTCCTAGGTTACATTTTACAGACATAACAAATCCCTTATAATAATGTAAACAAAATAACTTCCCTAAAGGGTGAACTTGAGAACTTCAGTCCATTCTTTCAGGACTTGCACTTCTTCGTGGACTTCCTGATGGGGAACGACTGAAAAGAAAAACATTAAGTATGGAACCAATTAGTGTTATAAAACTTCCTCTTCTTTTAAACATTTATTTATTATGTATACAATATTCTGTCTGTGTGCATGTCTGCAGCCAGAAGAGGGAACCAGACCTCTTTACAGATGGTTGTGAGCCACCATGTGGTTGCCGGGAATTGAACTCAGCAGGACCTTTGGAAGAGCAGGCAATGCTCTTAACCACTGAGCCATCTCTCCAGCCCAAAACTTCCTCTTCTTATGCACAAGTCAGAGTAATTCAGTATTTCAATACATTTTATTTATAGGGATCAAATTCCTATGGACAAAGGCCTAACATAAATTTATATATCCCTCTTTTACCTCACTTGGCATTAACTATAGCATCTTTTTTACTATTTAATATTTATTATGTATGATGTTCTTCTGCAAGCCAGAAGAGGGCACCAAATCTCATTACAGATGGCTGTGAGCCACCATGTAGTTACTGGGAATTGAACTGAAGACCTCTGGATAATGAGCAGGAGGTGCTTTTAACCTCTGAGCCATTTCCCCAGCCCCTGGTATTAATTCTTAAAGATTCTTAATTACCTGTGTGGGTTGTGTGCACTGAATACAAATGCCTGGAAAGGTCAGAGGTATCAGATTTCTGATATGGATATTAGGAATTGTACTAGATCTTCTGGAAAGAACTGCAGGTGGTCTTAACCACTGGGCCATCTCTCCAGCCCCAGTATTAAGCATTTAAGAACCAGTCAAAATTGTAAGGTTACATTAAATAAGACAACTATTTGAAGTTTTAGGGGTGAATCATTAAGGGTTATTGGACAGGAATGGAGAGCAACTATTTAAGATTTATGTTTTTATGTGGACATTTCCTTCTTTGCTATTCTACACACAGGAGGAAAAAAACATGTTTCTTAAGTATAACATTCTGACAACTTGGACAAAAGACTAAAAGCACCTTAAATTTCTCCAACACTTAATGGTTATTTCCAACTAAAGTTATAACTAATACAGAATAAAGTCATCATTTAAAAATGTTTTTAAAACCCAATCTATACAGCACCAATTCTCCAAAGAGTTCAAAGACCACTAAGTAGGAACTTAAGTTCTCCTAAGAGGCCATAACTTTGACAAGATTTGGCAACAAAATATTTTATTTTGCTTACCTTCTTTTAGGTGACGGAGATCTGGATTTTGATCGGCTGTCAAAATACGAAAAATTCTAGTAAGAAAAGGCACGAATCTCTCTCTTCCTTACAGCCCTACTACAAAACAAACCCCCAACTATCTTACAATTAAAATGTCATTACAGCTAAAATTTCAGTGCCTATCACATTTCCTTAAAAAGGAATCTTAAAATGGCCTATACTGACATAAAATTGAACTGCAGCATTATTACAGTTCATCTTTTACATTCTGTATAAAGTACATTTCTCAGAATGTTTCTCTATGCACCTACAACTTAAGGCCTCTTAATTTCCCTAAGTAATGTTAAGTCACATAACATTAACTTCTCCATGAATCAGCCAAGTAATAGGCCATGTGTAAATAAAGTTCTCATTTGGGCTACCAATAAGGAAGGTAGTTATTTCTACCTAACATTCAGGTTTTGGGCTAACACCCAAGTTTCAATAATTTACAAGACTTTGAACTCTTTGGATATTGGTGCTATATAATTTAAGAACACTAAAAATCAGTTTTATATCCTACCTGCTTCTTGGCCGTGAAATAGACCTGGATCTTGATCTCGACCTTGAACGGGATCTTAATAAAAAGAAAAAGGGACACAATCACACAAAAATTCCTTTATAACTGAGCACCCTTCCAGGTAGAAGAGACAGGACAGAAGAGCTAAGACAACTGGCTACATGACTCTTGACTTACATACATTGATCCAATGTAGTACAAATGATCAAACAGAGAAATTTCAAATACAACAAAACCCACCATTTCAAATTCCCACTTGTCATACACAATTGGTCACTACTCCTTTCTGGTACAGGCACAATAATCCCATTTTCAAACACTAATAACCAAGTTAACTGTGGGTTCCATCTGAGAAAATTGCTATGATTTGACTTTTTATTCTTGTTATCATGGTTGAAGGATCTTAATTTATTAGACCAATTTAGGTTGACTATATCTTTTAAAAACCTTGAAATATTATAAACTGATATAGAAATGGTACAATAATTTTCTCAAATTGTTAATTCAAGAATTACCATATCTTAAGGTTTTGCGTATTCAACAACAGTGAAGGCCAGTGTTTTTATATACACTGCTTTTTATATACAACTTTTACATACAACTGCTTTTTCATCTGTAATACAAAATTTTTATGAAATTTGCATCCAAATGTAAGGTTTTCCCCTATTCAGCTGGTATGGCGGCCTACACCTTTAATCCCAGCACTCAAGAGGCAGACAGAGCCTGTCTATCTTCCAGGGTCTCAAATGCACTCATTCCCAAACTGTTTTAAATCTTACATTTCATTTACTGAGAGTGTATGTTTTGAGTAGGTGAATGTCATAACCTTCCAGAACTCAGAGAGCAACTTGTGGGAATTGGTTCTCTCCTCCCTTTATGTGAGTTCTAGAATCAAAAGTCATGTTAACAGGCTTGATGGCAAGCTCTGTAGCCATTTTCTTCAGTCAACTAGCATCATGCCCACCCAGATTCTGAGGTGGGTTGTAAACCTCACTAGCTCCCCTTCTATCCTCAAATTCTCAGGCCCAAGTATCCTGGTCTCAGTCTAAGTTCTAGGACTACAGATGTCCATCACTGCACTTAATAAAAACCTTTACACCTCAAATATTCTGAAGCATCTCACTTAAGATACTTCACTGTGTCACTAAGATGTGACAATCCATCTACAAGTAAGCAGGAAAAATGTGTTACATACTGGAAATACCTCGATCCTTTTATAGAACCAGACCTAGATCTTCTGAGTGAAGCTGATCTTGATCTACGAAGAGACACAGACCTTGATCTTCGAGGAGATGCTGATCTTGACCTAAAAATTAAAAGAAGTTCTAAGTCCATCTCTTTTCTCCCCCTAAAACTTATTTAATCCCAGCATTCAGGAGGCAAAGAGAGTTCGAAGCCAGCCTGGCCTACAGAGTTCCAGGAGAGCCAGAGCTCTTACAGAGAAACCCTGTCTCTCAAAAACCCAAAACAAACCCTTGAATTTTTCAAGATTTCTCACCTCCTTCCCCGACTCCTGCTGCGTGAGCGAGAGTATCGCCTTCCCCTGGAACGGGAATGTGATCTAGACCGTGACCTATTTTTCAAGTTAGAAAAATATAAAATATTAGATGATAACTCAGTTTTAGTGTTTGTGTACCTCTGCTGAAATCAAATCTCAAACTATTTAAAATTTAGTATCTCATTTGGAAAAACTCTGGGCCTATAAGTTTTTTTTTTTTACTACCTAAAAAAAGATTTGTTAAAAGCTGAATTACAACTTAGAATTACAAAATATAAAACACCATAATGCGTTTAAAATAAACCTTGCAAGTTTGCAGGTCGACCCTCTTTGGCCCATGGTCTAGTAGTAGGTCTAGTAGATCTAGACGATCTAGAAGTATCTATAGCCGATCGCTGCATCTAGATGTTTTCTTCAATCTAACGACGATCAAACTGACAGCCAAAAGAGCCAGGTGAGGCTTGATTGACGCAAGAAGATTTTTCTAGTTGGGAATGTGGTCAATCTGGTGTTCCTCTTTCTAAAGCGGAGGGGGCCCCAATTGTAAGCCAAATTTACTGTTACGGCGATCACCGACTCAAATTTTCTGCCCTTTAAAGAATAAGGTGAAGCTAGGTGTAGATGGCTCGAGGGGATCTGGCCTCTTATGCTGATCACCTCAAGGTCTAGGAGGATCTTAATTGTCGGATTTGCAAGGCGCCTCAGCATGATATCATAAGGCTCGTGACATTCTGAATCAAGGCGACTGACTCAAACGAAGAAACCTGAAAGGTTTTGACCAGGTTGATTATTAATATATTAACATTTTAATTAAACAAAAAAAAAACTTAAAATACACCTGTACAATTAACATTCAAGTTTATAGAAAAACACTAATTTCTGCCTTGCTAATAAAAGAATTACTTTGATTAACTAGAATACCAACCATTCCCTTATTAATTAAATACCTGCTTCTTCTTCGACGGCTATAGCGATGACAATCATAAGCATAATGTCCCTTTTCACCACACTCATAGCATCTATCATTAGGATCAAAGGGACGTCTTGCAGGTGGCCTATCAAAACGAGATCTCCGAGGCATGCCTGTTGATAATTCAACCCTCACTCGAGAACCACAAATCACCCTACAAAACAGTAAGAAAGCACTAAAGTTAAAATATTTAGGTGACTTCTAAGTTTAAAAGAACTCAGCTTTGTCTTTGTTTACAAAGTTCTTCCAATTCCATTTTTCATCTTTAATCTTAAAATTATCAGGGGCTGGAGACGGCTCAGCAGTTAAGAGAACACTAGCTGCTCTTCCAAAGGACCGGGTTCAATTCCCAGCACCCACATGGCAGCCCACAACTGTCTGTAGTTCCAGTTCTGGGATCCAACATCCTCAGAGTATATATAAGCAAAACACACGTGCACATTAAATAAATAAACAAATCTTTTAAAAAAAATTATCAGGTGCATGTAATGGCAATACTAGAGTGGCTGATGCAGGAGGGTGCCATGCTACGGACCAGCACAGGCTGGGAGACACACTATCAAAATACAAGTCTCCAGGGGCTGGAGAGATGGCTCAGAGGTTAAGAGCATTGCCTGCTCTTCCAAAGGTCCTGAGTTCAGTTCCCAGCAACCACATGGTGGCTCACAACCATCTGTAGGGAGGTCTGGTGCCCTCTTCTGGCCTGTAGGCACACACACACACAGACAGAATATTGTATACATAATAAATAAATATTTAAAAAAAAAAAATACAAGTCTCCAAGCCCCCACCGCAGGTGCAGGTCTCCACACCAGAGAAATCTATGATTAGCACTAAGATTACTTACGATCTAGCTCACAGGAATATTTTAAAGAAAATGTTATATAACAACCCACTTACTTCCCATCCAATCCTCGAACTGCATCTTCTGCATCTCTAGGATCTTCAAATTCCACAAAGGCAAATCCTGGAGGATTTCTGGCAATCCACACTGTTCTTAAGGGCCCATAGTAACTGAATGCCCTTTCTAACTCGCCTTTACCAGCACCAGTTCCCAGGTTACCAACATACACCTTGGTTTCTGTTTAAAAATGCAAATAAAGCAAACGTTATTCCAAGCGTACCTTAAGCTGGAATTCCTTCCTTTACAACAGACCATCCATCCCTAAGCTGCGCAACGGCACGTTTTGTTTTGGAGTGCTCAAGGAGACTGAGCCAGTCAGTGATCTACAACAGAGCCACACTCCAAATATTTATCTATACATCGCTCAAGTGCAGCTGGGACTAAAAGGCGTGCGCCACCATGCCCCTCACTCCTTTTTGGGAGGCTCTCCATCAATGCCTAAATTGTAGCCTTAACCCCGTGAAATAATAAAGCCCGACTCGTGAACAAATTCTGGCGTCCTTATAGATTGGAAACCTTGGAAAATCTCTGCCGAGGAGCGTGGTGGAGGTAAGGCGTGGGGTGGCTGGGCCCCGCCCCTCCTCGGTCCCGGCAGCCCCGGGCGAGCTAGAGCGCGCGGGCTCCAGCGGCCCGGCCCAGCCAGAGGTCTACCCGGGGCAGGGCCGCACGGGTTCCCGTCTTCCACAGCAGGCGCAGGCTCACCCAAATCCCCGCCCCTGCGGCCGAAGCTCCAAACGGCTAAAAAAAAAAAAAGAAAGAAAAAAAAAGAAAAAGAACAACAAAAAAAGCCGTCCTCGGTCGCAACGATCGCTCCTTCTCTTTCCCCTCACGCTCCTTCCTCAATTCAACCAGTTGCTGGGGCGATGCGCAGCTCGCAGCTGCCGCCTTCGCCCCGTCTCTAATTCAACCCCGGATCTCCCCGCTCCAGTGGCGGGAAAGCGCTGAGGAAATGCGCCACCACGGTCGTCAATGTGCTCAAAATGGCAGCCGCGGCGGCCGAGGGCGGGGGGTGGGGGAGCGGAGGCGGGCGGCAGTGCGGAGAAGGGGGACACCGCAGCGGCGACCGTCCCACGGGCTTTCGGCCCGGCCCGGAGGCCGAAACGCCCCGGTGCCCGAGCCCTGCGGCGCACAAGGGCCCTCCGGCCCCGCTCGCCCTCCCACACCCCGCCCCCGCGGCCTCCGGCTTCGGACGGCGTGCGCCGAAGCCGCCATTACGCACGCGGAATAACCGTCTCCAACTGCCGCGCCGACCCCACGGCCTCGCTCCGCTCGGGCCGCGACCAGCAGCGTCCTCCCCTGGGCCCCAGCCGCTCACCTCCTCCATACCGCCCGTAGCGTGACATGATGGCCGGTCCGCGTACTCGGCTCTCGCTCGCAGTGCCCGCAGCTCGAGTAGCACGGACGCGGCAGCGCGGCTCTCCTCGTCGACTCTCCCGGCGGCGCTACAAGGAAGAGGCCGGATTCGCGCTTATATACGCGGCGGGCGGGGATTTTTTTTTTCCTCCGGCGCATGCGCCGTGTCAACGTTCTGCGCGGCACAAAGGAGCTGGGTGGAAACAGCCTAGAGGCGGGGCGGAGAGGGAAATCAGGAGCCGACTCGAGTCGCGGGCGGAGGGATACGTTTCCATGGGAACGTCAAGATCTTGCCCGTAAACCCGCGGCCTCCGGGGCGGCACCCTCCTCCCTCCCCTCCCCTTCCCCTTTCCTTAACCCCACCGGCCCTCCTTACCTTTTCCCAACCCTTCTACCTCTCCATTTTAACCTAGAAACTGACAGCGTTAGTGACCGTAGTACAGATGCATTAGACCGTTCTGTGGAAGTCTGTAATGTTTAACTGCTGATGTCGCTGTCGCCACCTTTCGGTTTGGGTTACCTGGCCAAGTCTTCTGCTCGGTGATCTTTGAGTCTCTTCAGAGGTAATTAAACTGACCAGAGTGAAAACGCCCCTTGCCCCGCCATTCTGCTAAAGATCATTATGAAGTCCCAGGCCTCCAAGGGGGTGACTTCCCTCAGGGACTCCCATTTGCGCCGACTGGCGGTCCCTTTAACCAAGTCAGTCACTAATTTGTCGCCAAATTTGTTCTGCATCCTGAACAAAGGGTTAGAGCTGGGGGGTAGGGGTTCTGGTAATGTTAAAATTGCGGCAAAACTAAAAGTTTGCAAGCATACTGACCCGCAACAATTCTTAAATTCCTTGCATCTGAAGCACAAAGTATTTTTCTTTTCTAGTGCTTTTGGGGTTTTTGGAGTTGTCTTTGAGCTTTTATTTAAACCGGGCGGTGGTGTCACCTTTAATCCCAGCACTCTGGAGGCTGAGGTAGGTGAATCCCTGTGAGTTCTAGGCCAGCCTGGTCTACAAGAGCTAGTTCTAGGACTGTTACACAGGGAAACCCTATCTCGAAAAACAAAAAACAAACAAACAAAAAAAACCCTTAGCGCTCAGCCTCTCAATATATATAAATTTGTGAAATTATCTTTATATTGCTTAAATCTGCCTCTAATTTTACACAATGTATTTGACAGAAGCCAACTCTAAGAACAGTTAAGTTCTTTTTATTTTTTATTTATTTATTTATTTATTTATTTGGTTTTTCGAGACAGGGTTTCTCTGTGGCTTTGGAGCCTGTCCTGGAACTAGCTCTGTAGACCAGGCTGGTCTCAAACTCACAGAGATCCGCCTGCCTCTGCCTCCCGAGTGCTGGGATTAAAGGCGTGTGTGCCACCATCGACCGGCTATTACTGGGTCTTAAGGAAGGTTGTTAACTAATTTTCTGAAAAATCGCCACACTGACATCCAAAGGAGCTGTACCAGTTTGCATTCCCACCAGCAATGCAGGAGTGTTCCCTTTTCCCCACAATCTCTCCAGCATAAGTTGCCATCAGTAGTTTTGATCTTGGCCATTCTTGCAGGTATAAGATGGAATCTCAGAGTAGTTTTGATTTGCATTTCTCTGATGACTAAGGATGTTGAACATTTCCTTAAGTGTTTTAATCACTTTAAGTTTTAGATCCATTTTAGATCCCTCTGTTGAGAGTTCTCTGTTTAGGTTTGTACTCCATTTTTTTTATTGGATTATTTGTTCTTTTGATGACCAGTTTCTTGAATACAATAATCTTTATGTATTTTGGAGATCAGACCTCTGCCTGATGTGGAGTTAGTGAAGATCTTTTCCCATTCTGTAGGCTGTTGTTTTGTCTTGTTGACCATGTCCTTTGCTTTACAGAAGCTTTTCAGTTTCAGGAGGTCCCATTTATTAATTGAGAAACACTCTTCTAACCTGAACGACATCCCCAGTCCCTGGTTTTTGTTTTTATCTGCTTCTCTTCTGAAAAGCATTAAAGTATAAAGATTTTTTTTTTTTTATATTTATTTATTATGTATACAATATTCTGTCTGTGTGTATATCTGCAGGCCAGAAGAGGGCACCAGACCTCATTCCAGATGGTTGTGAGCCACCATGTGGTTGCTGGGAATTGAACTCAGGACCTTTGGAAGAGCAAGCAATGCTCTTAACCACTGAGCCATCTCTCCAGCCCAAGTATAAAGATTTTTATACTCGTCGAAGGAATAGTAATTCCATAAAGCCTCATTAATTTCACTCTTTTGTTTGTTTGGGTTTCTTTGTTTTTCAAGCCAGGGTTTCTCTGTATCTTTGGAGCCTGTCCTGGAACTCACTCTGTAGACCAGGCTGGCCTTGAATTCACAGAGATCCCACTGTCTCTGCCTCCCTAGTGGTGGGATTAAAGGTGTCATCACCACTGCCCAGCTCAAGTTATTTTAGATTTAGGATTCAATAATTTATTTTGTACCATTTTTGAAGAAGAGAACCATGTAGCTAGGGATAGTCCAAGAGTGGATGTGTATGGTTTAAAATAGGGCAGTTCATACCCGGGCGGTGGGGGCTGCTACGCAGGGAAACCCTGTCTTGAAAAACCAAAAAAAAAAAAAAAAAAAAAAAAAGTCCCCTTTTACCCTTTGGAACCTTCATTTGTAACTGCTTGTTGACTGCACTTAGAGAAACACTGCTTAACACCATTGACTTTCCTTTGATACTAATGTAGTCCCTAGAAATGATTGAATTCCACCATAAATTAATAAATAGCCAAGTGTGGCGCATGTGTCTATATCCCAGCATATGGTAGGTAAATACAGAAGGATCATTGCATGTCCACACACCACATACACAGACAGAGAGGGAGATAGAGATAGGAAGGGAGAAAGGGAGGGAGAGAATAAATGGATGCATTTTTAAATTTTAAATGTATTTTAGCTAAAAAAAAAAAATCTAAGGAAAATCCCAGCATTCAGGAGGCAGAGGCAAGCAGATTTCTATGAGTTTAGAGGCAGCCTGGAAATTCAAGATCATCCAGGGCTGAGATCCTGTCTCAAAAAAAAAAAAAAAAAAAGAGTGGACCTGGTATGATGATGGCAAACACCTATATTCCCAGAATTTGGGAGACAGAGGCAGGAGGGTCAGAAGTTCAAGGTTACCCTTCCTTCCTTCCTTCCTTCCTTCCTTCCTCCTTCCCATCCTTCCTTTCTTTATTATGCATGCAATGTTCTGCTAGCATGTATGCTTGCAAGCCAGAAGAAGACACCAGATCTCATCGCAGATGGTTGTGAGCCACCATGTGGTTGTTGGGAATTGAACTCATGACCTTTGGAGGAGCACATAGTTCTTTTAACCTCTGAGCCATCTCTCCAGCCCCAAGGGGGCCGTTTCTTTAATCAGCGCTTGGAAGGCAGAGATAGGTACATTTCTGTGAGTTCAGGCCAGCCTGGTCTAATGGTTCTAGGACTGACAGGGCTAAGTAGAAAGACCCCGTCTCAACACACTTCACAAACAAACAAACAAAAGACCTAGTGCCAGTGACAGTATGCACACAGTACTAAAAATAGTGTGGGGGATTTTTCATCCCCATAATCTTTGTCCTTTGGACTAGACAATACACAACTTCCTTAATCTGAATGAGAGAAATATATAGGTATCCTTTCTAACCAGAGTCTTGACTCCTAATGAGAGATTTTGCAGCCATCACAGCAGAATACACAGAAGCATGAGTTTATGGAATTTGTACAATGGCTAACTGGGGACAGAAGAACTCCACTGCTTACTAAGGGTTTACTTTGTTCTTGTTTGTTTTTGGTTTTTAGAGATAGGGTTTCTCTGTGTAACCCTGGCTATTCTGGAACTAGCTCTGTAGACCAGGCTGACCTTAAACTCATAGATCTGCCTGCCTCTGCCTCCCAAGGGCTGGGATTAATGGTGTGTGCACCACCGCCCAGCCGTTTACTTTTTAGTGGTTAGTTTTCTTTAGTAGATTCTAGATGAACTTTTCAGAAATGCATCTTGTGGGTACATAAAGTGATCCTCTCCCTATCTGACTTAGATAGAGAATGCCCTAATGCTGAATCTCACAGCTAGTCTTACATTTGCCTCCATTTTAACAGCAACTTGAGACTGAGCTTTGTGTGGAAGAAGAGCCTCTGGTCAGGAGTGCAGCAGCTACTGTCATTGCAAGTTCACTTCAGATATTCCTGCCTCTAATCGAGGAAGCAAATATGTCACGGTTCCTAAGAAATGAGGACAATGATGAGAACATGCTAAATATGTCCCTTAGTCTAAGAGAAGGGGAAAGTGACAGGATGGCCAGAGTAACTAAGACATTCAGTCTAAGAGAAAGTGAAACCGAGGACAAGTTTGAGGATGCCCACGAAATTATCCCTGTGGCAACAACAATGAATCTCCTATCATCCTTGGAAGAATGTACAACTGGGTTGTACTTGTTTCTAAATAACAGATTCTCCGACGCAATCAATCTTATTCACCCGTGGTCAAAAAACAGCCCGTACCACGCCCTGATCTACAGCATGCTTATGATTGTCAAGGCCATCCTGACTTTTGAGCCACAGGACATTCAGATTGGAATGAATGCTGCAAAGGAGGCTTTGAAAACCTGCAACAATTTCCGAAAAAAAACCAGGATAACGACTTTATCTCGCCTCGTGAGTAGACAGGGAATAAAGTCCATCAAAGAGGAGGAACTACATGCAGAAGTCTGTTATGCCGAGTGTCTGATCTTGAAGTCTGCCATAACATTTATACAAGATGACAGTTTGCTGAATTTCCTTAAAAGCGGCATCAGCATTGGGTCAAGCTACCAAATATACAAAGACTGCCAGCAGGTCTTAGAACTTATGCCGGAAAACCAAAGTAAAACCCACAGACACCTGGATGGAGGGGTAAAGTTTGGACTTGGAGTGTTCAATCTGATGTTCTCCCTTGTGCCACCAAGATCACTTAAGCTTCTCAATATTGTCGGCTATTCTGGCGATAGAGAAGTCGGTCTGGCCCTGCTTCACGAGAGTGCATCTGAACCTCACATAAACAACATCTTAAGTGTTTTCACTCTCCTCTTTTATTACAGTTATGTGCGTGTAGTTGTTGGTGTCGAAAAGGCTTC